GAACTGCAGTCATGGATTATCTCGGCAAAGGAGAAGTGCTCACTAACACAGATTTAGACAGATTTGTGAACAATATTTGAGAGAAATAGGCCTTTTGTGTACATAGAAAAAGTCTTAGATCTTTGAGTTCAGCTCGTGAAAAATGGCGGCAAAAACAAAAGTGTTGCGTTTATAATTTTGTTCAGTGTATATGGATGTGGATGTGACAATACAGTGTATTGTATATGCCATGGTTTACTTCTGTTCCCTTACAGCCTAATTTACATTCACTTTATGAAAAAAAATGCAGTTGATTCCTTGAAAAGGTCCATATTACCTATGTCAACTAATTTCAACTTACAATATGCGTACTGTACAATAGTAAACATATTTTACTGTTGTTAGCCCCAAATTAATGGAAATTTTGTCTGGATTTATGAAGTGGCCTGCACAGAATAACACACACATTCTGCAAAAACACTTCTGGACATTCAACACAATTTTTTTTTTTTTATTATTGTTTTTTCATTAATTTACCAAACCACACTGTATTGAACTAAAAGCAGCTAAGAAGTGTTATTTTAGCATTATTATTATAATATTATTGTATTTACTATTTTGAATTTGTTTTTTATTTTCATTTTAGTTTTACTTTAAGATTTAGTTAATTTTGTTTTTCTTTGTTGTTTTTTATTTTTATTATTTAATTTTATCATTAAAAAAATATATTTATATAACTTTATTTTTTTATTTCAGTTTTAGTAACTTTAGTACTTACTTATAAACTTATTTTATTTTGTTGCCAAGTCAACATTTCTTACATTCATTTGTTCCATCTAATATTAATATTTTATTATTATTTTTTTTAATTTAAATTAACCAAGATACTTAAAAAGGTTTTAGTTCTTTAGTTCTACACTGCAGCTGAGCAAGCTTTTTTCACTATAATGTATGGCTCATTTAGAAAATGGCCTAAAACAAACAAATACTGATTTCCTACTTTGCATTTCATATCTACTTTTTTTGTCGATATATATTTAGATAATTAATGCTGTTCATTATTATGTTTTCAGTTTAATGATATAAATGTTGGTGCTGTCTAATTGTATTGGTTCAAATGCTAATTAATGCTAGTAGTTACATATCTAAAAACAATGCCCCCCTAAATATCTTCAATGTAGTTAAGCTACTTTTTGCTAATGGCTTGTAAGGTAGGATAGTTTTAATACTTCATAGTTTCAAGTAGCATTCCCAACACTAATGTAAACACATGTAGCAGTCTATACAGAGCTTCTGCAAATGGGTTGAGGGAAAAGCACTGCTCTCATCTCATTCACGCCTAAACTTCAAAAACCTGACAATGCTCTCCTGTCACAGTGACAGATAGAGGCTCCTGTATGGCTTTATTATGGAGCATAATGGTGTCACTATGTAAGCTGAGAGTGGTGTTCAAACAGGCTACTGTGGCAGATGAGGGAGGAAAAAACAAAAGAGTGAAGGCAAAGTGAGGTTAGATAACATGCTCTTGTGATTGCAGATGGAGCCACCTGACAAATGTAAAAACTAACAGGATGTGTTGAGCATGCATAGACGGGAGGGAAAAACTCTCTCTTATGCCTGAATAAGATGTATCCAAATGCACGTGAAAAGATGTCAACGTTCAATGGTGCAAAGATATTATAACAGATATGTGAAAACAACGCATCTTACCTTTGGTCCCGATGGACCAGGTTCTCCTGGCAGGCCTGGGGCTCCCTGCGGTTACAAATAATTATAGGAGTGAAACTGGGACAGATAGTACAAGTTTTGCAGTAATAATGTGCACAAAAACATTCCTATATCAATCAGAATTTAGTCGTATTTTTTCTTATCAACGTAAAAAATATAATTAAAATAAGCCAAAATTCCAGTCTCTAGAATTCCGATTTACCCATAAATAAGATTTACCTGAACTGTGTGTCATACAAACACCTAATTAAAAATCCACTGTAACTGATTATTTATTTATATCTGTGCATGTTTAAATAAAAGTAATTCTGGTTACAAGGCAGAGGAAGTGTTCAAATGTCCATCAATCGAATAAAAACGTTTTCATCTTAAGGTGGAGACTGATTCTGTGGAATTACGGCTTAATCCAACAATTATGTGTAATTGTTATCACAAAGTTGCATATTGTGCATAAAATTTGTATAGTGAAGCAAATCAAAGGAGATACTTACGTCTTTACCCACCGCTCCATCACTCCCTGGTTCACCCTACAGAAAAAAAATACAGAAAAAAAAAAATAAAATACACACACACACACACACACACACACACACACACACACACATATATGTGTGTATGTATATAAATCTGCGACAAAAATGTTTAAAAGAATAATAATGCTATTAAAAATTTATGGTAAATATTATGGTAAACCAACTAAGTTTAGGTACTGACCATCAGCCCTGGATGTCCTGGGAGCCCTGGTGGGCCAGGTAATCCAAGCTGCCCTCTCTCTCCTGCCTCACCTTTTTCTCCCTTAATGCTCTGGTAAAGAACAAAAAGACACAGTAAAGCATTCAAACAATTAAAAACATCACTGACATATTATCTGTTTTAGAAGACTTTTGCTCACCACTCCAGGTGGCCCAACTGGTCCCGGCGGCCCTGAAGATCCAGCAGAACCCTAGAAATTTCCAGTGGAACTGTTAATTTATCACATTCTCGAGGAGTTTATCTGTACACTACCATTCGAAAATTTGAGGTCAGTAAAATTTCTTGTTTTAAAGAAATTAATACTTTTATTCAGCATGAATGCATAATATTGATCATACCAACCCCAAACTTTTAAACAGTAATGTTTATGTACAAACTAGAGAAAAGTGGAGATTATAAGATATTTTAAATACTTACAACATGTCCTGGAGCTCCAGGTGGTCCTTGTGGTCCAGGAGGACCGGGATCACCCTGGAATGTAAGTATAAAAGTTTTTACTTATCAAGATGTGTGTGTCAGATTGCAATCTATAGCACAATGCAAGCATGAGTTCTCAACACTGCCGCAAGGGACATCATGTAATATTATAGTATGGACATAAGTGTTAACTGTCTTCTAACTAATGGAGCAACTGTTTAAAGAGAATAGTCCTGAATATATTAGATATTATAACCATAAGGATGTCTCTTCATCTCCTGTCTGTTTGAATAGAACAGTGAAATGGATTGGCAGTAAAGAAGAGCCAACTCTACCTCTTCCTTGAGTACTGAGGTTTGTAACTGCCACAGTAACATGACAACACACACTGGGTATATGTACAATGGGATCACACAGTTGCAATACATTAGCCAAGCATTTGCATCTGTGATTGCTTACTTGCATAGGGTATGTTGCTGGTCTAAGGGTGCTAAGGGTTATTTTCAGAGCATTCTTTCATTATCTGAAATCTATAGAGCATTTGAAGGGGAATCTATAGCCCATTTAAAGATGCAGTGGCAATATATCTAATAGAAGACAGCTTGCCTCTAGACCAGGCCTTCCCACTGCTCCAGCAGGTCCCTGAGGTCCTCTATCTCCCTACATATAACAATAAAGAAGAGAGAGGGATGATGTAGAGTAAAAGAGAAAGAGATATGTAAAAAGGCAGACTAGCGTAGAAGTAAAAGCTGTTGTGTGTAATTTCTGCACCATTATGTGCCAAATGGATTTGCAAATATAATGATTGTTTTCAAAAAGTTTTCCCATTGTTTGGGTTAGCAAACTGTCTCGTTCCAAACCTATGCCATAGACTGAGCTCAAACTTGGAATGTAGGGTCATTCAGACACACAGAACAATGTGAAAATGCAATATTTACACTTCTGCAGTTGTCTTTGCTCATTAAGAGAACGTATTTGAACATCAAAAACATTACAGGCGTCAGCTTTAAAGACAGGATCAATGGGAAGTAATTTTTTATTCATTTATGCACTACACATTTCAAATAGAAATAATGACAAGGCTATGAAACTCAAAGAAAAGGCTCGTACTTTCATTCCTGGGAGACCTGTGTGTCCTTTGATGCCCTTGAAACCCTGGAATGAGAAACAGTTATACAAGTAAGCCTTTTCCAATCAGAGAGAAGTCAAGTCAAGCTCCTCCTTGGAGATGCCTAATTAAAGTTGACTTTCTTCTTTGTTTCAGTCTTTGTTCCAAATGTTGATTTTGCTATTCATGTGTCACTGATCAAATCTACAAAGAGCTTGGAATGTGAAAACTAAGAAAGAAAATATGGTACGGTTAATACCGGCATTCCCCTGGGTCCAGCAGAGCCAGGCGGTCCTGGTTCACCCTGTGCAATTGTGAGAATAAAACACAGTTAGAAATAATACAAACAGAAAATAAAATAGAATATATATATATATATATATATATATATATGTGTGGTTATAATATTTCTTTTCTTTTCTGACCCTTAAACCTGGTTTTCCATCTTTGCCATCAAGTCCTTCCATTCCAGGTGGTCCCTTTAAACAAAAACAAAATGCAAAACAATATAATTACTTTGTGAAAGTTTTAATTGTGTACGGTGACAACACAGGCTGAACGTCTGCTTTAAAAGGTGTCTATCCATAGGATTCTGAGACTCACAGGCATGCCTGGGGCCCCGGTTGATCCTGGGGGACCTGTGGGTCCCTGTGGGCCCTGAACTCCAGCACTACCCTTAGGGAGTAAATCAAATAAGGGTGAGTGCTTGATAGAGAAGCATCTACACTCCACATTCAAGCCATTTAATGACTAAAGAGTATGTCAGAGGACTTGTTTGTGAAAGTGACCATAAGTGATAATGCCTATGAATGCAAATGATGAGTCATTTATCAAATGTCATTGCTCATATACTGTAAGGATTTATTTCCAGATGTCACTATATTCTATCATTTAATTTATCAATGCATGTTCAGGCATTATAGTACTGTCACTTGCCTTCTCAGCTTGTGGTCCTGGAGGGCCCGGAGGACCTGCTTTTCCCGAGAAACCAGGAGGACCCTGGAGACATGAAGAGAAAAGAGATGAGGTTTATTTCAGAATTAAAGTCCAAATTGTTTACAGTTTGGAATCCATTTCACTTCTATAATGTGACATTTTTGAGTGAAACGGTAGGGAAATGATGACTGAACTCTCACCGGTTGTCCTGGGAATCCTTGGGATCCTTGGAAGCCCTGTAAACAAAAGACGCAAGAACTGTTATTATGCGCACTGTAAATTGTGATCACAGCAACAACATGAGGATGATACACCACAGAATTTATTGAGTAAATACACAACATTTTTAAATATTTATTTTCCAGGAAAAACAGGTATATTCTCAGATCTTGGGCTTGTAAATTTGAAAATGCAAACAGAACATCTTGCTCTACATAGTGTAATATCAAAGAATAAGGTATCATGAGAATGTGATATCAAGGGATATGACACATATAGAAAGATATTTTAAAGGGAAGGATTTTGTTGGCAATATATCAGCAACATGCTTTTCTACCTGATCTCCCTTTGGTCCCACAGGTCCCGCTGTTCCAGCTTCCCCTTTAGGACCCTGCCAGTCAGGGAAATATGTTTTTTAACATCACACATTGTCAGTTTTTGAGAACAATGTTGAATCTGTGTGAGAAAGACTAAAAGAAAAGAACAAAAATCAGCATTCTCCTAAGTTTTTCCACAATCGATCTACAAAATGTTTGAAGCTTTTTGGTTTGATCTGAGAGTTATTACTCACAAAGAGAATACAAAAGGGAAACTAGCTTCTATATATCGTGCATGATTATCAGCCATCCAAGATAGACATAAGGTTTGTTTTGAAAATCCCAATGATAAAAAAGACAAAGCAGTGAAGTGCAGTGCAGTGCTGTTGAGGGTCATGACTTCAGGTAAGAGTCTATATATGTGAAGCAGAAAAAATAAAGGCATTAAAACCGGATGTTTACTCACTGTTGGGCCGACTGGTCCTTGATAACCTGGAGATCCCGGTGGACCCTATTTAAAAACAGTGCAAAGTTTCAAACACTTTACCAAGTCATTATAAGATTTCCTTTGTGAATGCTCCTGCGCGCTTTGAACCCCCAAAGGACAGTCAAAACAATAGGTTGAGGTGCTCTGAAAAGTATGTAATTATGCATTCAAAAGGGTCAGAAAGATTTTTTTTAAAGAATACTTATATTCAGCAAGGACACATTACATTGATCAAAATGACACAGTTACTGTGTTACAAAAGACCTCTATTTTAAATAAATGCTGTTCTTTTGAAAAATCAGCTTTGCCATCACAGGGGGAAAAAAACATTTTAAAATAAATGTTTTCTATTTTAATATATTTTATATTTTGTATTATTTCACATAATTGCTGTTTTACTGTATTTCTGATCAAATAAATTACTGACATAAAAATAGATCCCATTCAAAGTCAATGAATAAACTGGACACTTGAAGTTTAACATTGTTTAAAGAGTGCGTTCTTACAGAATCTCCTTTCTGCCCTGCAGTTCCTGGACTGCCACGCTCTCCTTTAAGGCCCTGGGAAAAAAGCATTATGACTTTAACCCACCAATCAAACAATTAGGAGTTATACAACATGTCAAAACATTAATATATGATGTCTCTGCATCGGGTCAATTGTCAATGGTCAATTGTTGAAACCACTTACAGGGAGTCCAGGCGGTCCCATGGTTCCAGGATAGCCAGGATTTCCTGGTGGACCCTTTGTGAAAATAACAAAAGTAACTCAATAATACAGCACACTGTCCATTAGTATATATTCTTGAGTTACTCACCTGTTCACCTTTCTGTCCTGGAAGTCCGTCTGTCCCTCTCTGACCTTGTTGACCCTATGATTAAAAAAAATGAAAGAGGCATTAGCAACAGAGCCAGCAAAAAAATGCAAATATAAGCATTTTATTCGTCATATACATAAGAAATACTATATTATATTAGTATTACAATATCTTGCTGGAGAATACTTGTTTTTACAGCCTTGCATTTCAGATAATTGTGATCTTAACAGCAAAACAAAACAGCTAATACACCTGCCAAATGCTTGGCAATTATTTTCTAAGACAGGGACGAAAGTAAGGGGAATGAATGAATCCTTCTTTCCTGCCATCTGTATTCCAGGAACAGACAAAAGATGCCGAGTTATTGTTTGTATTGTTTTTACCTTTATAGTCACGGGACAAAACATGCCTATTAGCTATTGCATGCATAATGAAAAAGGCATGGACCTGAGTTGAATTTCATATCAGATAATCCTTCAGTAAATGCCTCCTGCATAGATACATCACTTAAAGGTTTACAGTTTTTACTTAATCGATTTGATACATTCCACTAAATGAAGGTCAATGCTCTTTAAGCAGTTAACATAGAGATCGAAACGGTAACAAAACAATATTCCCAGACAGACTATTCTCATACTAATAATATTTTATTTTTTCTAAATGCATTGGCCTTATTTAAAATCGACTGAGGAAAAACTGTAAATAAATTAGTGCCCTGTGCGAAGAAAACAAAATGTTTTGTCAGGATTTTTTAATCAGCAAGGTCAAGGACAAACGGATTTCAACGTCATAAACACTTTCCCCAAGAAAAATAAAACTGCATAAATAATGGTAATGAATTTAAGAGTTGCCGGCAGCAGGTTTGAAAGTCTCAGACCTGCTTCATGCGTGTTAAATCATTAAGTGCATTGCCGTGCCTAGCAGGTGGATTTGATCTCACTGGTTTAACTTTAATTTAATTTAAGAATGATTAATGAAAGCAGTCCATTCTAAACTCACATCACTGGTTGAGTGAGACTTTGACATGTCGGACCACTCCAACAAACAAAGTTGTGAATTTGTCAGTGTTTAGACTCTTCAGGAACTTAATAATAGCTCACTTACAGTTGTCTCTGCACATTAAACGGAAATAGAAGAGGGAGTATTTGGCTTCATCTTTAAGCTAGAAAAAAGAATTATATCCCTCTATTGGCTGTCTCTTTTGGAAATGTCTTTCTTTTATTTTCCTGAATCTTGCTGACTGCACACTCTCCTCAGCGGTTCATTTATATATCATTCTATTAGCGGATCAATTCCACTGAAAATTTCATTTTGGAAAACATTGGCATACTGTAAATCTTTATTTTCTGCTTTTCCATGCTAATAGGAAAAGAAAAAGAAAAACAGCAAAAAAAACTACACCGCTGAGTTTGTTGTTTCAAACCGTTTCGATTGAAGCAAATGAAAGAAAGTCAGATAAAGCTCACAAAGCATAAAGCTGGACAACATTAAAATAAAATCCATTCTGGCTCAGACTCAATTCATCAGTAAGCCCAAACCTCTGTTATAACATGCCGTTCAAGGCGTTGCAAAATAACCTGTCAGCAGCACATACACAATGGCTATGGAGAGATAATTGAACAAGCACCACAGCACTACAGTTATACTTCTCTGTCATGGCATTCATTATGGTGCACGAGAGAAGATGGGCTGGTTTCTGAGGTAATTAAACATCTTCTGTGTTTGTCTGAGCTGATCGTAAGTTTGCATGCTTTGACTTACAGGCAGTCCAGGAGGCCCTTGAGGACCAGGGAAACCAATATTGCCCTATAAAAGAATGATAATAAGAGAGCAACAGTTAGAAATATATTCCTTTATAATGGACAAAAACAAGAAACAAACAAATAAAAGCAATCCTGTCAAGAAGACCCTTGCACATGCATCCCAATTTTCCTCTTCATTTCTCATAGTTATGCAGCCTGTTTTACTATAGTTTTTGAATACTTGATACTAGTAAAGTGAGATGAAATGTACAACTTGACAGAATTGAACAGAAAAACTATTTGTGTGGTCCACTGCGCAACGCTTAGTGGATCACGATCAACTTTCAGTGGGTTTGTTCTGTTTGTTGCATTTTGTGTTCAGAGCAGTAATTGATACAAATATGTCACAGCTATTGAGGTTTTAGGTTATTGACATGGCATCCTTTGCACTTAATATTCCATGGACAACACATTTTTTAATACTCTTTTTTTTGTAGTTAAATCACTGTTTTATATATATTTATATAATTTATGCTGTGGGAACACAAGACACACACACATGCACACACAAACAAACAAACACTTTTTTTGGGATTCTTTTAACAATGTAAGAGTGTAAAAGTCTTTATAGTCACCTTTGAAATGAAATCAAAAGTGAAAAGAAAATTAAATAAAAAAGCATTGATTTCTTTACAAAAAAAAGAAGAAATGACAAGTTTAAGTGGACACAACGTCTTAACTCTCAATTACATGTTGAAATTAGATTAGGCACAGATTTGGGACTATTTTGGAAAGCATTCTGCAATTCTGGGTCAAACCTGTAGGGGCCACTCTAACCTCACAACAAAGAAGTAATTGACTGTTCTCCCTTCTTGGTTTATTGTAACTGAAAACACTGAACCTAAAAGAAAATAGATTGTGCAAACACACACTGCATTTGTGGGATTAAATTACTAAATTAAGTCATGTAGAACAGTTCTCTGTTTGCTGCAATTCTGTAAGAAGTGCTCAACATTGGTTTGTCTCTATATGATATGGACTGCACTCTGAAAGCCATCTGGGGTCACTCTGTCTCAGTTTCTAAGAAAAGAGGGCTAAAAAGGCAATCCTGCCAGAAACGACCTTTTAGGAGACAATCTGGAGCATAACTGGCAAAGTAGAAACTTACTGGGGTTCCAGGAAGACCAGGAGGTCCTCGCTCACCTCTAGGACCCTACAGTGAAGACAGACCATGATAATGTTTTATAGCATACGGTGTCAGGCGAAGCAACCATTATAACTGGGGCTATATAATAATCATTATTTTACATTATATATGTATATAATTATATATTAATATATAACATGTTAATTTGGTGTGAATACCTATGATTAAAAACATATTTACAGCATTTCAATGAACAGTAAGTTAATATTGTATTACATTTTACATGCAACATTGTTTGCTTTTGCTCCTAAATCATTTTTAACAAAGCCGCAACAGAACAGTTGTGCCTTTCTGAGCAAAAAACACCGCTGTTTCATTACTGAATGAATCCATGGTTTAGAACGAGTGAACCAAAGATTCAGTGACCCATTCATAAAGACAGTAATTTGCTTAGTTTCTGAACAAATCAGCTACTTCAATATTCATTTTTAAACCCATTAATGCCCATTTAAAACCCATTCATCTTAAAGTATTATTTATGCATTTCTAACTGTGGTGTAAATGCATTCACACAACCTCTGAAGAGTCTGAAGATGCAGAAAAACAATTTTATGGCCGCATTGTAGCCTTATGTGGAGTAAGTTCTATGTTGAATCAAAAAGTTTGCTTTGATTCTGTTTTGAAATAAATAGCAGCTAACTACGATGACTAGGACCAAGCAGAAGTCTCTGCCAACTGGTTGCATCAACAGTGGACTGAATGAACGTGCAGGCGGTATGAAGTAATCCTACTATGCCTAGCGCCCACCTACTTGTCTTTCAGCAAATCAGTTTTAGACAACTGGGCAAACATTACAACACCTAATTAATATTCATGAGCCAAGATGAAAATAAATATGTCCCCCTCCTTTTCATATTATTCCTAAGCCTCTGATAACACAAATCTGGGAAAGAATTGGGGACAGAATAATATAATTGGAGTGTGCTATATATATATATATATATTTATATATTTGCTTTTAATATTAAAATATTGTGTTGTTAGATTCGCAACAGTTAGGATAAAGCAGAGCTCTTGTATCCTCTCTAATAGGCACTGATAGTAATGAAACTCGGCAGAATCTCTCACCGGCTCTCCTTTGACCCCTGCGGTCCCTGGGAATCCGGGCATCCCTGGTGCACCAGCGCACTGACCACTGTTACTCGTCTAAAAACATTGAGCAGACAGACATGAGGGGTTACAATCAAGAAATGCGTGCACAATTTGAAGAGAAACAAATAATGACTTTAGGTGATGAAAGGAACAGCTTTGTGTCAGAACAATGGAACAGTGGATTACAATTTTCAATAATGTGACAGTAGCTCAGCTGCTTTCATAATAGTATAGCTTTTCCAGTAACAAGCTACCTTTTCCCAATGAGTAGAAGAGTGTGATTTACTCAACTATGTAGTGTTCCAATTCATTTTAGTGAATTGGTTTGTTTGAACATTCGTATAAATGGACCATTTTAAAACGATTCACTAATTCACTAAGAACCTTTGTATAATGCCCTGTATCTTTTTTATGTAATATATTTAGTTAAATTCATTAAACTTATTTGTATTTTGAATCCTGTCATCATAATTGAGATTTCATTAAATTGAGATTAACATTATGAGTAGCTTGTAGCTTGGGAAGCTTCCCTATCATGGTTTCATATGAGTGTAAAAAGAGCATTAATCAATCGGTCCATAGACTTACAGGCCCACTTGGTGTTTCTTCTCTCTGCAGCTTCTCTATACACTGTAAAGGTGATCATAGAGATAGGTTTAGTACTGTATGTTCATGAGCATGAGCAAAACTACTGTAGAAATCAATGGCATGCCAAACAGAAAGCTTAAAACAACAGCAAACAAACAAATCAACGTTACCCACACCCTTTTCTGTTTAATACCAATCACATCATCCATCATTCATCCCTCTCACCCGTTCACATCCATCTAAGTGTTCAACGCCAGGCTTGCCCTGATCTCCCTTCTCGCCCTTAGCGCCAACCATGCCAGGCACACCTGGTAGACCCTTGGAGCATTCGCCACAGCCCTCCTACAGTGATGCATACACATGACACAAACACATATGTGTACTCACTGAAAGAACAAATGAACAATAAAAACACAGCACCTGCATGCAAATACAAGTGAATAGTAGTGCTGCATTGAAGAGTAAAAAGGTACAGACAGACTGAGAAAGATTCATGAAATTCAAACACTGGATATTTTGTTAACAGTAAAAACTATACTCTCACATTACAGTTTGATAGAACAGGAATTAAAGAATCCAAATAACCCCGGCTCAAAGAATGTACAAGGTTTCAAAGTAAAAAAAAAATAAAAAATAGGGTTTGCAAAATAAATGTATTCTTCTGCCTGAACAGCACACATTTGTCATTAAGACGTGTGTGTGTTCACTGTGGGAACAAGATGGAAACGTCTCAACAGGGAATGCCAAAATTCCGGTCAGGAGAAAGTGATATCAGAGCCTGACTGCCAGCATGTCCGGAACACCTCATGGGAAACACACTCACGCGTGTGAGGAGGGGCTGAACAAGGTTGCATTTATTTGATAAAATAAATGCATACATATCAAATATATGTATATACAGTATATATAAATATATTTGATAAAATAAATACAACCTTGATCATCATAGGAGACTAAAAAAATCTTATCAATCCCAAACATTTGAATGGTAGTTTAAATAAATAAATAAATTTTTAATAGCTTCGCTATGTAAGAATCATAAACTATGTATACATTAAAATGGTTGTATATGTATGAGATATGCCAGGCTTAAAATGCAGCACTCGATTTTATGCAATATGTAACAGGGGTACCCTGCTTCATCTCTCTATCCACCATGGGGTCCTGGGTCTCAAAAAGGTTGAAACCCCCTGCACTAAAAATTCCATCATCCAAATGAAAATGCATGCAGTGCATAGATGTCTTGCTGTTGTATGTGTACTACTTTGGGGGCAGAATGAAAAAATAACATCTATTCACACCACACCAACTATGCTAATGTGTATGTTTCTGTACACATTATATTACCAGATAATACCAGTGTTTCCTTGCACATGCATACTAATAATGTCATAGAGAGAGAGATAAGTTGAACACGTGCAGTTAATACAGATAAGTTAGCATGTGGGCTAGACTGTTCGCTTACCTTGCCTGTGGAAGCTGAATCCTGAGGCATCAAAACAGGAGGCTGCAAGATGGAGGAGACAGTCAGCCATGGTGACTGCATCAAAAACACTTTTACATTTCACAACAAATGAATGTGCAATAATCATCAGAAGTTCAGAAGAAAGTGACTATGGTGAGACCAAGGCAATGCAGTACACTAAAAGGTTATTTTTTAAAAGCATTGCTCAGGAAGTAAAGTTATGAACTCATTATTATTAATAACAAAAATCTCATTTTAATAATGGAACTATTTTGCATGAAATTATTCAGAAAAAAATCGGAGCTGAATTTAACGTGATAAATTATTTCACATTATGCTACAATTATTTATTATGCTGTCATTTCAAAACAGTTTACTGACTAACTGCATCCATAAACATGTAAATGAAAATATAATAAAAAAAAATATATATTGTGCTACTGTATTGGCCATTTACAGCATGGATAAGATGTTTCACATCCTTCTTTACAAAGCATTAGTTTCAGAGCACAAAAGACTTTCAGAAGGACAAAAAACAAAACTTCATTGTGCAACACCCACAATGTACTTCAAACGTATATGGAATACTATATGTAATGAATCCCCAGAGTATTTTAAAGCGTAAAAAAAATAAAAAAATAAACTAAAATTCCACTTCACCTCGTACCAATATATTATATGCACTTGGCCCACATGGCCCTTTTTTGTATAGATGACTGAAATATTCCTCTAACTACAGTTAAACCAGAGAACTTGACCGACTATGAGAGTGGCTCTCAGGTGCTCTTGAAGGTGCTATGAGCATCCAGCATGTAGATCTCCTCTCACCACTGGCTGGTTTGGGCTCTCCACAGCTCAGTAAAGTGGTTTCATTGCAGGACCACTCATATAATGACATCTTATGCCATCCAGTTAATCTACTGTAATTATGGTTTTAATATGGTAATTGGTCACCTTTTTAGTTTTTTTAAAAGAACCATTTGAAATTCCTAATATTATTCATTACTTCTATTTAATTGAACTATTTAGTGTTTTTGGCTCTATAGAACAGAATTAATTTGTATATTAATGAACTAGCTTTGGGATTAAGTTGTTTGCGGGGTCTGTTTCTCAAAGGTTGGCGAACGAGAGTTAAATGAATAACATGGTTTAAATCTGATTGTGCTCTGGAAGAACTCGGTGGTCTGAGTCTGCCGATAGAAGTGGAGCAAAGCGGGCCGGGACAGAAGTCTGGCCAAATATCCGCTGCAGGCTGGAAGCCCGGAGCTCTGATTTCAGGATGGGCCTCCAGCCAGCTAGGAAAATATGTGTGCGGAGAGACAGGGCCATTAATGCCAAAATCCTGCTTTCAACCAAAGATCTAATGGCTCTTTCTGTATGGAACATCACTCACAGTAATGGCCGCCCTAACCGTAACTCAACACAATGGCAGTGTTTATCATTACACAAAGCCTCGGAGACTGTGAGTTAACTCTGAAAGGGTAATGGGACCTTTGGTGGCCATAAAGGACATACTGCAGGAGAGACGCCTCATGGAGTGCCGAGTTAAGATCTTTACAAATGCTTACTGGTTCCTTTTCGTATTATAAAAAAGCTGCTGTTGTCTTCGTGAATCACCTCTAGTGAGCTCTGTCTCCCTGCACCGGTTTAAAGGAGGCCCAACCCACTCCCCCTCTAACGCAGAAGTCGACCAACCAGGCTCCTTGCTCTGTGTTTATATACTGTAATAAAAGCTCCTCCCCCTGTCTGGTTACTCACTGCTTGGCCGGGTGGACCCGGTTTCCCTGGTATGCCATCGTTGCCAGGGAGACCCTGTAAGAAGGAACTGAGGTTGAATTGGTTTAGCTTGTGGCTACAATCTGGACACCTCCTTCTCCAGCGGGGCAGAGGGAAAGTAGCCAAAGCCCTGGACCCTCTCCTGGTTTGTGTTCCAGCTCGGAGTAGACATTTACATTTTTTCTTGCCTTTCTCTGTCTATTTTTTAATTTCAGTTCTTCTGAGACTTGGGAAATCAACACAACACCAGGTTAAAGACCACTCAGTGCTCACGGTGAGGTCATACAGAAGTCAATTTGCCAGTTTATCAGGGTGATTTAAATGATGATGGGCTTACATACCATTATAATTCCCATTGTATATTTAAAGGGGTCATATGATGCTTTTTTAACGATATTTGGTGTATTTGGTGTAACAGAATATGTTGACATGCTTTAATGAAAAAATAAAACATTATTAAAAAATGCTCTCAGATTCCTTTTTGTGTCTCCATAAGTCCATTAGTAGAGTGTAGCACTGAAACCCTATCGTAATTGCTATTCATGAATGAATGAATGAATGAATGTTGTAATTCTACTGTAATTGCTAGGATTTTTTCTTGTACAGACTTCTCAAAATGCAGAGATTTAAGCAGCAGAAGAGCGATACAGAGTCATGAATGTTGTAATTCTACTGTAATTGCTAGAATTTTTTCTTGTACAAACTTTTCAAAATGCATAGATTTAAGCAGCAGAAGAGCGATACAGAGTGAAAAAGGATGTCAGACCTGAGGACCAGGCTGCCACCTGCTCTCACCACCTGGGACCCCCTGCAAGAAAAGAGTAATTGACTTCAGCACTGTGAATGACATCAGGTCTCATGATGAGACGTGAGTGATTTAAAAGGTTTTGTTTAATAGCCCACATTCTTAGAGTGTGTATGCGTGAGAGTGTGTTAATGTCTTCTTGATTAACAACAATAAAATAAAGCATTAGCTCACAGGTCCACCGGTTCCAGGGAACATATAATTCAAACAGTTGCACTCTGCTGGTTCACCCTACGACACAACAACAACAAAAAAATTGGTTACAGTGAGTTGTACATTTTCTGAGTAAACTGCCACAACTAGTCAAGATTGTTTCCAGGGTGATGCTATGTGGTTGCTAAGGTATTCTGAATGATTTTTATGTTGCTAGGTGTTTGTTTACTGGAACAAATTATATATTTAATTAAATATATTCAACCTAACCTAAAAGAGAGCATCACAACTCAGCAAAGCTAATATTTATTTGTATTGTTGTATTATTTTTGCTATTTGACAATAACTAAATTATAATTTAGACTACAACAACAAAAAATATACCCATTGTATTATTATTATTATTATTAATAAATTAATGCATACTGATTTATTAATAATAGCAATAACAATATTAAAATGAATTTGAGCTAATTTAAAATATAATAATAATAATAATAATAATAATAATAATAATAATGTTTTTATATAATGACATTTGACAGCTGAGAAGTGAAAATAAAGTATTGTATTAGTAAAACATTTGTATTTGGAATAATAATAGTGATAATTCCCTTATTACATTCCCAAAGATTATCATAGATTTTACTAATATTTTGAATAAGTTTTTATTTTTTTTATTTTAGTTAGAGTTTTTGTAAAAAAAATTGTATATATAATTGTCTATATAATTTTTATTCATCTTTAGGTTTAGTTATTTTAGTACATCAAGTTAATGTAAATTAAAATAAGAAATGTTGCCTTAGCAACTAGCTAAAATATTTTTTTCTATATTTTATTTCAGTTAACGTTTATTTTATTTTAGATTATTTTTTTTTTATGGTTTTATTTTAGTTTCAGTTAACTATAATAACCATGGTCCCAACATGCACACGCACACACACACCCGCACACACACAAGCATGTTACATTGTGTTGCAACATGACATGATGTCGAAATTACAAAAAGATTTGCTGTAGAATTCTATCCTTGCACTCAACAGGAATCACAGAGCACTTCATCACACTTAAGTGGAATATGCATCATTTGATATCAGCTGACACTTTCCTCTGTGTTTAGACAAATTAGTCTGGGAGACTACAGAGGACATTAAAGAATGAAGCATTTCCGATTTTACTAATATTTTGAATAAGTTTTAATTTTTTTTATTTTAGTTAGAGTTTTTGTAAAAAAAATTGTATATATAATTGTCTATATAATTTTTATTCATTTTTATTTCAGCTTTAGGTTTAGTTATTTTAGTACATCAAGTTAATGTAAATTAAAATAAGAAATGTTGCCTTGGCAACTAGCTAAAATATTTTTTTCTATATTTTATTTCAGTTAACGTTTATTTTATTTTAGATTATTTTTTTTTTATGGTTTTATTTTAGTTTCAGTTAACTATAATAACCATGGTCCCAACATGCACACGCACACACACACACACACACACACACGCACACACACAAGCATGTTACATTGTGTTGCAACATGACATGATGTCGAAATTACAAAAAAGATTTGCTGTAGAATTCTATCCTGGCACTCAACAGGAATCACAGAGCACTTCATCACACTTAAGTGGAATATGCATCATTTGATATCAGCTGACACTTTCCTCTGTGTTTAGACAAATTAGTCTGGGAGACTACAGAGGACATTAAAGAATGAAGCATTTCCAGGGCTTTTCTTTCGAGGTCTCTCTTTCTCATCTCCCTCACGCTCACTTCCTTTCTTTTTGATACGCTGTGATGTTGTCAGATTACAGATGACAGCTGTAATATTCACCAATTAATAGCCTTGTTTTAGCTCGAGGGCATTTTTATCTTTTTCAGCACTGTCAAACTCTTCTGTCAGATTTATGCGTCTGTTTGTGTCTCCAGGGTGGACACATCACTGTGCATACAGACGGTCGCTATAAACATTACTCCTCCTATCCATCGTCCCCTCCACACACGCTCTCACTGTTTCGGGGAACCAGGAAATCGCCTCTCCAGCTCACTGATCCAGACACTTACCTTGTCACCCTTAGGCCCAGTGGCTCCCTGAAAGACAAGGAGAAACACACACACACACACACACAGACACACACAGGCACAGTTAGACAGTCTTATTGTGTGTAACTCTCCAGGGCCAGCTAGATGAGTGTGGATCGGGGAGGAGCAGTGGCAGGTGATGTGATGCAAGCAGACAATGTGTTGCTGTTAGGGATCCAGGCAGAGTCGAATATGACCCGAGTCGGTCTCTGGATTCGCTCCTTAAGCTCTCTGCGACAAAGCCCCAGGTAATTAACATCTGATGTGAGAACAGACAACGCTAACTTTGCTTTTTTAATGAGACAAGCTCTGGCAAGACAACAAACTCTCACTGCCTTTGTCTCTGCAGTTTATTGAAGTTCGTTTGATGCCGTCTCTAGATGGCAGAGCAATGAACAATGGACAATATGCTTGGGTGAATGTGTTAATCACAGAGCGTGTGTCACAATATGGGAATAAGCAAGAGGAGTTAAGCAAAGAATTGCTGGAGAGGATTAAACAAACAAACAAACTTACAGGACTCCCATCCTGCCCTGGTATTCCAGGAAATCCTTGTGTTCCATCCCTACCCTGTGACACAGATTATATAAATCATTTAAAATTGCAAGACAAAAAAAATAACACTGGCTGTATCTCATCCCACTCCCTATTTCCTATGATGTGAAACTGCATACTTAATATTAAATATGTGCTTATCTTGCATTATTTCACTTGGATGGTATAAGATGCCCTGAGTAAATACAGCTGGATAAAACAAAAAAATGTTTCTGTCTTCATTTCAGGCTGCAAAGCAACAAAATGTGATTATTTTAAAGGGGGGTGATTCTTTGCTATACCCACTGTATTATGCAAAACAGATAATCACATCCATAATGGCATTCAGATATTAAATATAATGACGAGAGTCTGAACATAAAAAAATGGCTGCATCATTTGCTGGGGAAAATCTTTTGGTGCATGTTTTACTGTATCTCAAGTTCTTACCGGTGGTCCGATTGGTCCCATTCCCATTGGCCCCTGTGGCCCTGGTGGTCCCATTTCTCCCTTTGGACCCTATTGATATCAAGCAATACATTAGGACAGCAGTGAGGTCAGATCCAGAGTGTCTTTTGGCCTGAAGAGTACTGTGTCATTGCGTTGGTGATCTACCCTTTGTCCTGCTGGTCCAATCGGCCCTGCAGGTCCCAGACGTCCTTCTGGACCCTGTAGGACACACGATTGTTTTTACACTTGGTTTCCATATGTGGTGCTTATTAAAAGGGCTGTTTTATTTATTATTGTGACTCATACACTACTGTTCAAAAGTTTCAGGGCTACTAAAAAAATTATTTTGTTTTTTTTTAAAGAAAATTATACTTTTATTCAGCAAGGATGCAATAAATTGATGAAAAATGACAGTAAAGACATTTATAATATATTAAGATTTCTATTACAAATAAATACTGTTCTTTTGAACTTTCTATTAATTAAAAAAGCTTGAAAAATGTATCATCGTTTCCACAAAAAGATTAGGCAGCACAACTGTTTTCAACATTGATAATAATAAGAAATGCTTCTTGAGCAGCAAATTAGCATATTAGAATGATTTCTGAAGGATCGTGTGACACTGAAGACTGGAGTAATGATGCTGAACATTCAGCTTTGCCATAATAGGAAAAAATTACATTTGAAAAATATATTCAAATATAAAACAGTTATTTTAAATTCTAATAATATTACACAACTTTACTGTTTTTACTGTATTTTTAATTAATCAAATGCAGCCTTGGTGAGCATAAGAAACTTCAAAAACATTAAAAAAAAAATACCGATTTCAACTTGTGAACAGCAGTGTATGTATCAGATAACATGTAAAAATAGAAAATTCAAAGAGAACAAAATCTAGAAATTTGCATACTCAAAGGCCCAAATCCATGTGTGAACACCCAATAACACAATACGTTTTGTGCACTTACAGCAGCTCCGGGAAAACCTCTAGGTCCCTGCTCACCCTGAGTGAGAACATCAAAACATTACAAAGAGCTGGTGCATTAAAGGAACTATTTAAATGCAACTGAGGCCTGCACATTTCTCTAAAAATGGTATAAATGAAAACAGTTTTTCTGAGTGATTACAATAAATGTTCATTCACCTGTAGTCCTGGAAGGCCAATACCTGGAAGCCCAGCATCACCCTAATAATAAATAAACATGAGCATCACTCCACAGTCAATCTTATAACTCTCACACACAGGTGTGACTGATGTATGCACATTAGTCAGGTGTGTAACTTTACCTGACTGCCTTTGAACCCTGGAGGTCCCTGGACACCAGGTGGGCCTGGCCGACCCTATAGAATAAAGATAATAAAGAAAGAGTCCAGACATGCCATTTTTTTAGGGCTGCTGAACAATAAAAAAAAAACAACAAAAAAACAATTAATCACTAGGGGTATAAATCAGCTATTTTATCACGATACAATATAACATTGATTCTCTTACAATACTTGCTGATACCTCAAAACCTGCCGCAATACAATTATGATTTGATTAAATTTATATATTGATATAATTTTATTATGTGCCTATTTTAACCAGTTACATTTTAAAAACTCACAAATGGAAACAAAATATAACAAGAATATTTAAGTGAACTTCCATATAGTTAGTAATTTGATCGATGCATTGATCTGTATCAATGTATCATTATAACCCTATTAATCACACATATTTGTTTAATGGCATCTTAACTAAGTACTATCAATATTAAATCACAGGAGTTAAAAGCCTTTTTTTTGTTTTTTTTGCTCTTTTTATCATCTGCTAGGCCAAAATCGCAAGTTCAGTTGCTTAGAAATGTGGACCCCTCCTCAACAAGCTGCATGACTTAAAGTATCAGTCATATATGTAGCACAAATTGCATGCTCCTCAGTTAGGCTTTTTATTTTAGATGTCTAACCCTATGTATGTGCAATAGTCATACAAAACTCCACTAATTCATTGCGAAAGCATGCATTTGTACAGAAAAAACTTGCACCTGTTTGCCTGCTCTGCCCTCCCCTGGCAAACCTGGCTCTCCTCTCTCTCCCTTGGGCCCTGGTAAGCCAGCAACATTGCCATTTCCTTCAGGGAGTGATGGACAGCTGTCACACGCGTCTCCCTGGCGATGCAGACACAGATGCAATAAAAAAAAGACAGAAAGCTTTTAAATTGCAAGTGAGGAGAATTCCAGATGGTCAACCATGCTTAATCTGGTATTTTTTTGCCTTCAAATTTATACACAGTCATATAAATGGTGTAATCTATTATATCAACATGATGAATGATAATTAACATATCCAGTGATGGCGCATAATTTACTGCAATGCAATTAATATGTGACCGCATGATCAATGTCATGTGACAATGACCTTTTCTCCTTTTAGTCCATTAAGGCCATTCCTGCCTGGTTCTCCTTGAGGTCCTGTGGGTCCAGCTGCCCCATCCACTCCTGGGTCTCCCTGTAAACCCTGATCACCCTACGCACATAAAAATTATATTTAATGCTTAGAAAAATACTAAGCTATACTATACTGTGAACATATTATTATATGCAAAGCTTTAAAAACTAATTAACTTACTTTCCCTCCTTCGAAACCTTGCAGACCTGGTGGCCCCTGTTGAAACATCCATTTTGAAAACAGGGTCAGTGTGTTTTGGGCTTCTCAAATTAAAAATGTATTCGCTGATACACTAGAAGCAACACACCACCCTTGCCTCCTCCAATATAAAGCGATCATAAAATAGTCAGGCTTACCTGTTTGCCTTCAACTCCTTCTCCTGGTGGACCTGGAGGTCCTGGAGGGCCACGTTCCCCTGTGACCTTTATCGTAGATAGGCCACTTCCCACCTCAGAGGTAGTGGTTTGGCACACGCCACATGAGTCTCCCTTAAATACAAGGCACATGTTGTTTTTGTCCCACGTAAACACATCCACAATACACTTGTATTGAAGGAGAGAAAATCATTGTTTAAAAACATTCACTTACCTTTTCACCTTTTGGACCAGGTGTTGCTATACCGGGTTGTCCAGAATCACCCTGTAAAAAAATTACACCACAAGTAAAAATGCAGTTAGTTT